CCGGGAATCACACCCAGTCAGATTTTCCCACCAAGGTATTCAGGGCAAAATCTGCAACTGTTCCCTGGCCAGCATGGAGGACGCTGGACCCTGTCCCCAGGGGGAGTGTCCTTCCTGCTGATTCTCCTTCCATGTCACCTGCAGTATCTTCTGGTGTTCCGCAGCTTCCAGGAAGGAGCAGGCTGGTGTGAACAGACACGCATGTGCCCCGTGTCAGTGACAGCGCATTCTAGAAGCTGGGCCTGCTAGAAGCAAAGGGACTCTGGACCCCACCTCTTTCCCGAAAGGGTCACAGATGGAACAGAGGGATGGAACCCAAGGCGCCCTCTGGCCACCCTTGGGCTCAGACCAGGGTTTGCTTTGGTGTGAGGAGTCCACGTCCCTGGGCGGGACCAGTGGGGCCAGGCCCTGCCCCCACCTCCCAGGCTGGCCAGCACCAAGGGGTAGGGCGAGGCCACTGCACGTGCACTGCTGCCAGGACCGGTCAGCGCCCAGGCTGGGCCTAGCGGGATGGGCTAAACCGTGGGGGAGGCGGCCACACAGGGGCGCCTTCCCTCCTCCCCAGGAGTCTCCCAGCCCCAGGGCAGCAGGCAGGGGAAGGCGGGGTCTCTCCCAAACGTCCTCGATCCTGGGGTCTGTCGTGGACAGCAGTGCAGGAACAGCACTGGAAAGATGCTCAGGCCAGGCCAGGGCCACACAGCAAACACCAGGGCTTGCCTCCCAGACCTCCACGTGGAGCCCTGGGTCCCCCACAAGCTCTCCTGGACAGACTCCCAGGCTGCCCACCCTGGGCCCCACTGTGTCACCCCATTCTGCCTCAGTCACCTGATGTGTTGGGAACCCTCTAAGACGACTCCTCTGAGCCCTGGGCCACCCTCCCAGCCTGCACAGGGTATCCACAGGCTTAGCCTCAGTCTGAGGTGGGAGGAAGCGCGGAGAAGTCGGACCCCAAGCCAATGAGGAGGAAAATGCGTCCCCACCAAGGGCCTGGCGCCTGGCAGAGCCTGGTCAGCCCCGGAAGAGAAACAGATTGGCCCCAGAGGCAGCGGACAGGCGTGTCCTTTAGACACCACACCCCAACGGGACTTCCAAGAGACTGGTGACACGCCCCCCTTGCTCACCGCTGTGCGTGTGCAAAGGGCAGAACAAAATATCTTGAAATTCTCCACAAATAAGAAGTGTTCAGTAAGTCCACGCTGCACTCCTTGCTTGTTTCACAAATCTTTATTGGGCAGTCCCCCCCCCCCTCCCCAACACACTGGGTGCCTGTCCAGAGTCCTGGTGTCCAGCCTGGGAGCCGCTGGGTGTGCAGGAGGCAGACACAGAAGCCATGGGGAGCCACACCCATCAAGGCCATGGCCACGGGGACGCACAGCAGAGGGGTGTCCTCCGGCTGCATGTGCGAGGGCATGGTCAGGGGCTCTGCTGCCCCTGTGGGCAAGTGGGCCCGGGTGGAGGCCCATGGTGGGAATGGAGCAAGAATGGGAGTCTCCAGGGGAAGGGCAGAGGGAACAGCCCAAGTGGAAGCTCAGAGGCAGGTAAGCCCCAGGAACCCTGGGGCATCCAGAGGCTGGTGCAGGGGAGGGCAGAAGTGGGTGGCCAAGGAGAGCCACAGGGCGTCCCCAGCCCCATGGGGGGTCTCCTGATGGCCCCTCTGACCATGGATGGGGGCAGCTCCACATGGAAGCAGTGGGAGGGAGAGCTCAGCACCTGGGTCCACAAGCCCTCCCCTTCATGGACACCACCACGACTGCTCCTGGGAGCAGGCCATCCGGAGGCCAGCCTGACTCGCAGTGCCAGGGCTCTGCCCCTATCCCCTGCCCCTCCCTCTCTCCAAGTTGCTCCCAGACACCAAATGGACCCAGTTCAGCATGCCCCTCCTTTTCTTTCCCCTGTCCGCCCCTGCTGGAGCTGGGAGAAGGTAGGCAGGAGGGGCAGGTCCTGTGGCAGGAGAAGTGCCAGCAGGGAGCCTGCCAGGCCCACTGAGGCCCCGGTCCCTTGGGTCCCCCTGGGCCCTGGCCTTAGGCCAGGACTCTCTCTCTGGACAGCTGGGAGAAGACAGGACAGTAGGGGAAGCAACAGGAAGGGTGAGCTACAGTGAGTGGGGTGTGGCCCTGGAGAGAAGGGAAGGAGAGTCAGGGGCGGCCGAGGGAAGAGGGCAGAGGAGATGGAGCTGTGGGGGGAGGGTGTTGGAGTGGGAGGCAACAGGCAGCTTCCACGACCCCGAAGCCAGTCTTACCTGGACCTTGAGTCTTCATTCTGGCTCCTGCCCAGGAAGCTGGGGAGCCAGAAGGGTCTGGGCTCTCTGTCCAGTGCTCTGGAATCCCCAGGGGTGAGGTCGTAGCCTGTCCAACCAAGGGACACCAGCAGACCCTAGGGCAGTGATAGACCTACGGACAAGCAGGGTGTCCTGGGTACTCCCAGGGCTGGAAGGATTGTGGTCCACTGCTACAGGTGGGCTGGACCTGCCCTGACCCTGCCTTCCACACACGCACCTGTGCACACGTGCACACTCAGGTACAACACACACACACACACACACACACACACACGGCCACCACATCCCAGGAAGGCTTTCCTGGGCCCATAGTGGCCTTTTCATTTTCTGAGACTATATGTGGAAAGTGCCCCAATTCCCTTATGGGTGGGGGCAGGCCACTAGCCCCAGACTGGCACCTCCCAGAATCAAGGAATCAGGATCTGAAATCGCCCAACAAAAGTTGAGACCACCAAAACCTCTTGCCCTCACCCAGGAGGAGGTGACCTCAGAAGCCCCCAGATCTCTCAGAAACTTACCCAGTAGGGGGCATGGCTTCTTACTTGCTCCTTCTCCCCTCCCCCAAAGAAAGGGGCTGGAAAGGAGCTGATCTGCTAAACAGAGGGGCCCCACTGAAGGGGGACACCAAGTGGAACCCCCCTCACCAGTTAGGTGTGGCTCAAGGAAAATTTCCTAATTCACCTGAAACACCCCAGCCCAGGGGTGAGGGGCGCGGTGGAGGCACTGGGGAGAGTGGGAAAGAGACCAGACCGGCTTCCCTCTGGGTGAGAAGTTTCGGGGTGTGTGCCCTGCCCATAACAGCAGAGATCCGCTGACTAGCTGAAAGACTAGGGGGCACATTCACAAGCCCCTCCGACCTCCACACACACTCGGGGGTCTTGACCTAATGGAAATACGTGTCTAGTGGGACAAAGGGTCCTGCCCTGGCGGTGAAACCGGAGGGGAGGATCCCCACCCAAGGCGAGTGTCCACCTGAGCGCTGCTGGACTCTTTGCCGGGTGTCCACTTCTCTGGACACGTTCCTTAGCCGCGGAAAGCAAGCCTCCCGCGCCCTATAGGGCCCAGCCAGCTCTCACCAGGGCCCGGGACACAGCGCTGTCCCTGTCTCAAGAAGTTGGGCGGCTCACGGGACTTGGGACTTAAGAGACCAGAGCCCCAGAGCCCCAGACAAGTCCCTGTGCTCAGGCGTTCTGGACTGCCCAACTCCCCAGACCGGACTGAAGCCTCGCCCTGAGGGTTGCATTGGGCTAAGGCAAAGCAGGACTTGCCCACGGCCTCGGAGGACCCCAGGTCAAAGCACGTCCCCACCCCGCCGCCTCTAATCCCCGAGTCGCCGGCCCGATACCGCGCGCAGCGAGGGATCAGAAGGTCTCAGGCGCGGCAGCAGAGCCGATCAGGGCTCCGCAGAGTTGGGGAGTTCCCCGCACCCCTAAAAGCCTCAGCACACGTTCGCGGTTGAAAGTACGCACTTTACGCGTCCCGGCGCCTCCGCGGTGAGTCGGGCCGCCGCACTCCGGGTCCGCGAAGGTGGCTCAGTTCGGGCGCTCCAGTCTCGACGTTCCCGGGGCAGAGAGCAACGTCCGGGGACGAACGGGACGGGTGCGCCCGGCGGCCGGGGCTGCGGCGGGCGAGGCGAGCGGCGAGAGGGGAGCGCTCCGGCGTTCAGGCAACAGCTACCCCTAGTGGGAGAGCCGCCCGGGGCCGGCGCCGCCCCGCGCCCGCTGCCCCGCGCCCCGCGCCCGCAGCGCCCTGCGCCCGGGGCCCTCCAGAGCGGACCGGGGGCGCAGGGCCCGCGCTGCTTTCCTGAGTCCTCCCCGTCTCCGGCGCCAGCGCCAACCTGCCCGCGGGCCCTGCCCTCCGCACCTCCCAGATGGACCCTGGCGACCGCTGACCCGAGATCCGCAGCGCTCAGCGGCAAAGAGATGGGACGGGGCGGGCGCGGCCGGGGCTGCGCGGGCTGGGGCGGCGCGCGGCGGCCTCGGGCAGCGGCGGGGGGCGCGGAGCGCGGTGTGCGTGGCGGGGCGGTGCGGGGGGCGGCCGTGTGCGAGGCGCGAGTGTGAGCGCGCGCGGGAGGCGGGCGGACGGGCTCCGGCAGTCGAGCGGCGCCCGCGGGCGAGCCGGGAAGGCGGCGGGAACGCAAAGTTGCCTCCTCGCGGGTCCGCGTCCTCGGCGGGGCGGGAGCCAGGGCCACCGAAGCGGCGGCCGTGGACACCGACTCCCTCGGTACCTGGGCAGCGGCCCCGCACGAGCGGCAGCGGCGTGGGCGGCGTTGGCGGCGGCGCGCGGGAAGCGAACCGGAGCTCCGGCGCGGCGCGGCGGCCGCCGGGGAACTCGGCTCAGGTGCGCGGCGAGAGGGGCGCGGGCCGGAGCCAGGCCGCGGAGACCGGGGCCGCGCGCAGAGCTCGCGCCAGCTGGAGGACCTCCGCCGCGGGCGCCCAGGTCCCCGGTCGGGTTGCTAGTCCCGGGCGGCTGCGGCGCCTGGGTCCCCCGCCCCTGAGAGCTGGCTGCAGGACTCAGGCCCGCCCCCACCGCCCCTGGCCGGACGGCTCCGCCCTCCTCCTGCCAGTGCCCGCCCTCGACCCACGATTTCTAGGGCATTGGCCGCGGCACTGGGTGATCCCTCAGGGCTCAAGTTGCAAGGGGGCGGGCCTGGGCGGAGGTGGAGTCTCCCGCCAATTGAAGCCTCGGCTATAAATTGAGCTCTCTGCACGCCGAAGCCCAGATGCCTCGCCAGGCCGCCTCGCGGTTGGTGGTCGGAGAAGGCGAGGGGCCCCCGGGGGCCTCGGGGCCCACGGCCACCATGCTCCGCTCCCTGCTGCTTCACTCCCTGAGGCTCTGTGCCCAGACCGCCTCGTGCCTCGTGCTCTTCCCGCGCTTCCTAGGCACGGCCTTCATGCTCTGGCTCCTCGACTTCCTGTGCATCCGCAAGCATTTCCTGGGCCGCCGCCGCCAGCCCGAACCCGAAGTGGAGCTCAATAGTGAGGGCGAGGAGGTGCCCCCCGACGACCCACCCATCTGCGTGTCCGACGACAACCGCCTGTGCACCCTGGCGTCGCTCAAGGCCGTGTGGCATGGCCAGAAGTTGGATTTCTTCAAGCAGGCACACGAGGGCGGACCAGCGCCCAACTCCGAGGTGGTCCTGCCTGAGGGCTTCCGGAGCCAGCGCATCCTAGACTATGCCCAAGGGAACCGCCCACTGGTGCTCAATTTCGGCAGCTGCACCTGACCACCGTTCATGGCGCGCATGAGCGCCTTCCAGCGTCTGGTCACCAAGTACCAGCGCGACGTCGACTTCCTCATCATCTACATTGAGGAAGCACATCCTTCCGACGGCTGGATCACCACAGACTCCCCCTACATCATTCCCCAACACCGGAGCCTGGAGGACCGGGTCAGCGCAGCAAGGGTGCTGCAGCAAGGTGCGCCAGGCTGCGCACTGGTCCTGGACACCATGGCCAATTCCAGCAGCTCGGCATACGGCGCCTACTTCGAGCGCCTCTACGTCATCCAGAGTGGTACCATCATGTACCAGGGAGGCCGTGGCCCAGATGGCTACCAGGTCTCAGAGCTGCGCACTTGGCTGGAGCGCTATGATGAGCAGTTGCACGGCACTCGGCCCCGTCGGTTGTAAGCAAACAACGGGTCAACTGACTGAACTTGGTGAGCTGGGCCTTCGGGCCTTTGAAGCCCACGTACAAGCACCCCAAAGGAAGTCAAGCTTGGCGAGGTCCCCATGGCAGATACAATGAGCTGCGGATCTTAGGCTGAGCCTGCCTCCCAGGGACTTCAGTGACAGTCTCTCACTTATACCTACCTGGCTTGCTTGAAATCCCCTTGGCAGCACTGATGCGGTGCTCACCACACCTTGTGTGCCCCCAGGACTTGCTCCTGCAGCACTTTTCACACCTTCCCAGAGCGCCTTTAATCAAGCGCCCAGCTTTTCAGAGCGCAGAGACCTTGGCCACGCCTCGCGCGCCCTGAGCGCAGCTGGGTTCCTGCAGCGCTCTAGGCTAGCGCTAGTTGCCTGGCACCCACCTGTCGCACGCAGGGAGCCCTGCTGCTTTGTGTTTACTTCTTGTCCCTGAGTCTGGGGGAGGGTTTCTTCGGGGATGGGGAAGGGTGGGCAGGGTGGTTTCCCCCCCTTGTTTTAGGCGCGCACGAGCCCCACTGCTGATGACGAACTATCTCTAACTGGTCTTGACCACGAGCTGGCTCCGAACTGCAGGAGGCTCGAAACAGCGCCTAAAGCGAGGTGGGGAGAGTGCTCTGGGTTTCCGTGAGGAAACCTCCGCAAATGGGGTGGGGGTGGGGGCAGGTGATGGTCTGTTTTGAGGCCCGAAGAAGATGGCAGGAGAGGCACTGGCAAAGTTCACAGCGCCCCAGAGAGAGAGGGAAGCTAGGACTCCTTGGGAGAACAGAGTTTGGGCGGCGGAGTCTGGAGAAAGGGAGGAGGGGGGACAGCCTGGGCCCGAGTGAGGTTACTCCTAGGCAAAGCTGCTCATTGCGGGGCCAGGGGATGGAGGGCCCTGATTCAAAGGCCATTCAGTGAGTGTTTGGCTGGAAATATTCCCTGTACATAAACTTCTTTTAAGCTAAAATAATAAAGGCTTGAAGTAAACTGCTTTCTGCTTGGCTTTGGTGTCTTTATTTTCTCTTTCCTCTGAGTAGCGACAGGAATTAAACACAAATCTCTCCCTGGCGACCCCATTGTGACCCAGAGGGATTAGGGGAGGATCCTAAACTGGAAGGGGCGCAGGAAGTGGATGAAGTGAGAAGAGGATCTGGGGCGGGCCGGGGCGCCCCTATACACTCCTGCACACACCCAGGCCAGGATTTGGGCAACTGAAGAAGAGCCAGGCAGCGGAGGCCTCCCAGGGTCTTGGAACCGGGCGGGAGAGTCAAGGGGCTCCTCATTTGCGGCCATGAGTGCGCCCGCGCGCGCACACTGACAGTTATGCTGTCCCTGCAGCCGCCCGTCTAACTTCTCTAAGCATCCAGTGATGTGGGGGAGGGGTGGTGGGGAAGGGCGAGGCGGGCTTTGAACCTCGCAGAGCTCTTTTCCCGCCCATGGTGGGTGCCACCGCGCACCTGGCTCCTCCCTCGCCCGCTTCCCGCACCTGCAAAACCATCTCCCGCCAACCCCCGCCTGGCTGCTGGAGTCCGCCGGAGGCGCGACTAGCAAAGCGCGCAGTAGTGGAGCAGATCCATCTCTCCAACAGCAGCTCCCACGGCCGGGCCGGGGGTGCTGGGGGATGTGCTCCGCCCAGGACACCCCCTCCTCTGCCTCTCCAAACTGGCGTTCAACCTCACCACCCCCAAACCCCAGCCTGCTCGCGGCTGAGAAGCATTGAAGCGGAGCGAGGTGGAAGAAGGAGGGCGATCAGAAGGCTGGGAGGCGGGGGGAGGGGCGATTCGGGGCGGGGTGAGGGTCGGGGTTTTGGCACAGATCCCGCCTGTGTTCGTGACCAGGTGCTGCAACACAGTACCCGCCTCGCTCTCTTCCCTGCAGCTCTCCGAGTGAGGGAGACCCCGGGAACACGGCCCGCAGCCCCTCTGTTAATGACACTTTTATCTGAAGAGAGGTGGGGACAGAGGAAAAGGGGCTGAAGCGAGAGTTTGAGGATGTGGCCAGCATGGGGCCAGCGGACAGTGGAACCCAGGACTACTAGGTGGCTCGGGCAAGGAGTAGTGTCGGTGCGCGCCTCGGTGTGAGTGCGCGTGCACGGGGGAAGCGTGGGTGAGTGAGGACACCGCGGGAGGGATAGAAGAGAGGCCTCGGTCCAGCCAACTCCGCGCCCAGCCCCCACGCTGCTCCTCCGTGAAAACTTTTTGGAACTGATGTCCTAAATTTGGGCGATTTTTCTTTCTTCTTTTTCCTTCTCTCTCTCTCTCTCTCTCTCTCTCTCTCTCTCTCTCTCTCTCTCTCTCTCTCTCTCCCTCTCTCTCTCTCCTTTAAAAGTATTTCAATTGAAAAATAACTTTAAGGAAAAAAATCGGCACAGATGGCATTTCAGCGTCTCCTCCCCCCACCCCACCTCGAGCACTTCTCAACCCTAAACTCCCAAGAATACAGAGAACGCAGCAGGGACTCCGCCCGAGTCGGACAGGGCTCGCCCCGAGCTCGAGGCTCGCCGGCTGTCCCAGGTGGGGACTTGGAGACTCGCGGAAGACAGTTGGGGGCAGCTGGGTTTGCCCTGGGTCCCGCAGAGCACGATTCTGCTGCTCCGCCTCCCTGCTGGTCACTCGGGGGTACCCTAAGGGCGCGCGGAGCCACCTTTCCTCCTAGCAGAGCTGCGCACACTGGGCCTCCTAGGACTTCCTAGACCTTGACGCGCGCTCAGCGCGGGGACCTTTGGCTCTTAAACACTCCTCACGCTGGAGGGACCCGCTCTCCCACGCCGCCGCAGAGGGGAGAGAACATCTACCTCCCCAATTTATTTCTCTTTGTTCCTTCTTCCTTCCCTTCCTTCCCCCTTCTCCTTCATCTTTTTCTTTTCCCTCTGTGCTCCTTTTCCTTCTTTAGTTTCTTTCTCTCATTTCCTTGGAAATCCTCCCTTATTATGAAAATAATGCCTGCTCACTGCGGAGAACAGAAGAATCCAGAGAAGCAATAGAACCAAGGCAAGGTAAACTCTCAATGTGTGCACTTTCAACTCTGTTTTCCCTCCCTGGTAAACAAGAGCGGATTGTCCTTTTGTGGCCTACCATTAACTTTGTACTCACTGGGCACCCCCTCTTCCCACGCCCCCGCTCTTTCCATGTCAATAAATCAGCTTGAATGGTAACACCAGGTGGCCAAAAGAAGAGTAAGGGACAACTTCAGGGGTGTGGGCACTCCACGTGTTAAGGATGTTCCCATATTATGCAGAAAATCAGCATGTGCAATTGTTCTCAGCTCTGTCCCTCTTTGTCCCCAAGTAAAATGGCAGGTCAAGACCCATGCATGACTTTTAAAATGTCTGTTTTGCCACATGTTGCTAAACTGTCTTCTAGAAAGTTTGATTGTTATTGTTCTCCATTTTCTCAATGCTGGCTCTCTTAAAGTGAAAAAATACAATGATAATACACAACCCATTCTCAATATCAAATGTTAAATATAAAAGAACATAGAGCAGGATTTTTCAAGCTATAAATCAGGATGCAGCAGTGGGTCATGAGATCCATTTATTGGATCAAGTCAAGCACATTGAAGAACTGAAATAGATTAAATAAAATAAAAATATCAGCCTATATCTCACCTAAGGAAGTAGTTTCCTGCAACTTTACTTTCAGTCACATGCAGTGTATGAGTATATGTGTGAATGTGTGTGGGTGTGTTCATGTGAGTATCCATGTAATTGGGCCTCTGAAGGAAATGTGTCTTCCCTGGGGGTCAGAGATGTTTGGAAGTGTTGGCGAATGTCTGTCACCTTTCCCTCTCATCCAGGACAGTGCCTGTGGACTGGTGGGGTGTCTGCTTCTAGATTCTGTTCCACATATTTGCAGTCATTCATGTGACATTCTCAGATGTGTTTTCCATAACTGGGATCACGCCCCCAACGTCCACCCTCTCGCATCCTTCCCTTGGCTTTCCCGGGCGATCCCATCCAGTCTGAGCAGGTCTGCGCCTGCATGCCTGCTCCTGCCTGGCACCATCCTGAATTCTGAGCCCCACTCCCCCCTTGAGGAGGAACTCAACTCTGTCCTCAAGTAGTGCTGGGATGGTGGGGTGCGGGAGACAGACATCATCCTTGCTGTTTCCATGATATCCTCCTTGTTCGTGTTTTCCAGGGTCTGGAGTGGCTTATCATGCAGTACAGACTTCAGCAGGAAGGGGGAAGAGGGACTTTAAAAGAGTCCATAGGAAAAGTTGAAAGACAAGGGAAGTGACCTCTGAGTGTTTGTTTATCCCAGGAGCCAGGTCTGGGGCCAGCGTCCCTTCCTCTCCCAGGAAGACACGGGAAGAAGGGCATCCTTAGAAGGGAGCACAACAAAGGCCCAGAAGCCTAAGCGTGCACATCTGGTCAAAGAGCAAGGAGTTCTCTGTGTGGTGCAAACAGGAAGGGACAATGGCGGAGGAGGAGGAGAGGCAGAGAGGAGCCAGGGCCAGCATGGGGAGAGCCCTAGGCACATGTCTGGGGTCTCTGTGAGCCTTTAGGGACAGTAGGACCTGCAAACAGGAAAGGGGAGCAGGTGATGGGGGTGGGGAGGAGCCCCAGGGGCCGAGGATGGAGGCAGGGGGCACATACATATGTCCACCACTGACCAAGCGGCACAGGTGCACCTTCAGGAGGCAAGCTGGCCTCCACCTCTGACCCAGGCACTCTCCTCTAGGAGTTAACCTAAATAAACTGGTGAGCAAAGGAGTAGGTAGGTAGCAAGAGGCCCATGGCCCCCTGGTTATCCACCTGCAGGGAAGGAAAGACAAGAGAAGTGACCTCTGAGTGTTTGTTTATCCCAGGAGCCAGGTCTGGGGCCAGCACCTTCTCAGGATGATCTGACTTGGCCGCGCTGAAGTTCCAGTGAGAGGAATATGATCCTCGGCCCCATTTTATGGATGAAGAAACTGAAGCTCAAAATGTTTGCAGGGAGCTGGGCCAAGATGTTTGGAGCTGAATTTTGTCCCTCCAAGTTCAGATGTTAAAGTCCTAA